CGTTGGTTTTTATCGTTGGTTTTTGCTAGTCTTTGCATTTCTAAATCTTTATTGATAAGATATCAACAGAAGATATTAAAAAAGTGGCCAATGAGCTTAAAAAATATTACACCAGGTGTTTTACACTTGATGCTTGACAAGGGGTCAGAAGAGCAAGCCATACAAAAGCTTTAGTGATATCAATGAGTGTTCCAGTAATCCCTGTGTAAACAGTGGTACTTGTACTGACTGAGTGAACAGTTATGTTTGTGCTTGTCATCCTTGATTCGAAGGACTCTGTCGTGAAACAAGAAGCAAAAGACTGTGATTTGTTTATAATGGTGACCTTGACAGTATTCCTTCTGAAGTTTTTCTCACTACATCCATTCATTACTGGTAACCCCACCATGAAGTGGATAAACATGTGTTCAATTGAATAAATAAACAAATGAATCACTCAATAGTAATATTAGAATTGTCCTGCTTCACCAAATGTTTAGAAACATGATTACCCTATAGTAAAATTAATTTAACCTTTGTTAAGATTTATTACCTCTGATCTAAATTTTTGGGAGCACATTCAAATACAAATAATTTGTAGAAGGCAGACCACCTGGCAAATCTAAGGTTAGAGAAGGTGGTGAACTACAGAGTTGCAGCAGGCCATGCAACCATTTAAACTATAGGACCACACTGCTTAATTACTTATTACTGTGAAACTAAGAAAGCTACAAACACTTTGCCTTGATTCTCACAGGACAGTTGTGTATGGTTCAAAACAAAAATTCAGGAGTGTGCAAATTCCCTACTGCTGCTGTTTAGTTGTCTTGAATTGCAAGGACATTACATAAGTACATGTATATCTGGAGTTCACAGTTTCTGGGTGTCACAGTAACAGTGTGGACAAAATACTTTTGTTCCCTGAGAATAACAAAGTACAAGGCTAGTTGCACAGGCTAGTCGCGGCGGGCAGTGACAACAATTTGTTAAGAGTCTAAAGCAAATTATAAATGAAAATATCATTACAACTTAAGTATAAGAATTAAAAGAAAAGAAAAAGAACAGCAGATAAGTAAACGCACAAATATATAGAATAATTAAATTAATTAAATAAATTAATAAAAATAAGACAATATAAACATACAAAATTAGCTATTTCAGGCACAAGGAGCAATTGAGGCTTGAGAAGATATCATAGGCCGCAAATTTTTTGGAGAAGAGATGCCAAATCGATATAGTTATCCTCAACGGCCAGGATATTCAAAATTGTACTATGGATTTTTTTCTTAAACTGTTTACGATTCAGATCACGTGTAGTGATACTCAGAGAATTCCACAGGACAGTTCCAAATCTAGCAACAGAATTCTGCATAAGGTTTAACCTAAAAATTTCCAGCAGAAGCTGATCTGGTGTTATATGAGTGTATTTTTCTGGAGCGAGTAAAGGAGTCACAGAGGTTTTCCGGTACATCATCATTCGAGACATTACGCATGAAAATAGAGACAGTTTCAAAATAGAGTAGCTCTACTGGTAGAATATTAGATGTCACAAAGAAAAGAAGAGAATGATCTCTGCATGGGAGGAAATGAATTTGGCGTATAACACGTTTCTGTAACACCAAAATCTTATATAAAGTTGATTTAGTGGCTTGACCCCATGCAATAAGGCCATAAGACAAATATGGGAAGATTAAAGATCTCATGATAAAGGTTGAGGAGACCACTCTGGGGAACAAAATGTCTCAGTCTCGCAATGACGCCAATAGTTTTACTGATTTAGGTAGTAACATAATCAATATGTGGTTTCCACGTATGGTGATTATCAATCAAAACTCCTACATATTTCACATATACCTGCTGTTCAAGATAAGTAGAAGAGTTTGTATTGTTGTCTATTAATTTTATTTTAACTTGATGGTTAGATCTACGTCCTTTGGGTTGAAAAATAACAAAGTTAGACTTCTTAACGTAAAGCGTTAATTTATTGGCATTAAGCCAATCCCAGACCTTTTACAGCTCCGCTGTAACTATAGTCTCTAAAGACAATAGTTACAGAGAGATACAAGAGATTGGTGTCATCAGCAAACAAATGAAATTTAAATTTCTCAGAGGCATTATAGATATCATTAACATATAGGAAAAAAAAAATGGGCCACTGAAGCACGGAGCCCTGTGGGACTCCACAAGCCACTGTTCTTTTCTCTGAAACTGTACATTCAATTTGTGTCGATTGTGTACGATCGCATAGATAGGACATAAACCAAGAATTAGCTACACCTTGAATTCCGTAGTGGTCCAGTTTATAAAGTAATACTGAGTGGTCAACTGTGTCAACGGCTTTGTTCAGGTCAAGAAAAATTCCACAAGAGATTAATTTCTTATCCATATTTTCCTGAATAGCGTTAACAATATCAAGAATTGCGTGTTGTGTCGAATATTTCTCTCGAAAACCGAACTGGCCCTTAAATAAAACGGTATTTAAGTCAATAAAAGCTTTAAGACGTCTATACATTGGTTTTTCGAAGATACGATTGAAAATAGAAAGTAGAGAAATGGGACGATAATTATCCAGCTGCAAAAGCTTAACTAAGAACATATGTGCTAAAATTTGTATTATGAACTTCTGCGTCACCAGTAAGCCGCTTTTGAAGCTCTAGCTCCCTCATTTCTTCACTAGCCACGTTTAAATGTTTTCCTCAAAAGCGACTGCCTCTTCCTCGGTTGCACGTGGCTCTACTTCTTCGTCGCACGGAGCGCGATATATCCAATATTTCTCCTCAACACTACAACAGTCATTCATAGACCCCTCATCGGAAGAAACAGAACCATTACTGTCGTTTAAAATAAACAACAGCGACTATCATCGAGCAAGACCGCCACTAGTCCATCCTCGGAGACCCAGGGGCAGTGAGTCGATTTCAAGTTAAGGGCAGAAGAGCCCCTGGGGACATTGTCTTACAAGACTAGTTCTAAACGGTCGCAGTCGTTCTGGCATCTGATTGGTGCCAGAAAATCTTTGTGTTTTTCTGCCCAATCAGAGTGAAGTGTCCTTTCGTGTTTTACATGTAATTCATCCTTGATCTGTGAGCTGCACGATTCATTCGCTTGTCAAGATACAGTGAAACCTCAATTTAACGAACCTCTATATAACGAAGTCCTCGGTATAACAAATGCTACTTCAGTTTCAGCCACTCCACAGGCTTAACTTACAGTAAAATGTATGCCATAGAACCTCGATGAACCCTCGATATAACGAATCAATTTCCCC